AGCCTCCTGGGCTCAAGCGATCCTCCTGCCTCAGCCTCCCCAAGTAGCTGGGACTACAGGCACCACCACCATATCCAGCTAATTTTTCTATCTTTTGTAGAGATGGGGTCTTGCTATGTTGCCCAGGCTGGTCTCGAACTGGGCTCAAGCAATCCTCCCGCCTTGGCCTTCCAGAGTGCTGGGATGACAGGCATGAGCCACCACACCTGGCAACATTCTTAAAATGACAAAAGTTTGGGAAAGGAGAATATCCCGGTATTTGTGGGAGATTAAGGGTAGGGTCCGGGCTGGGTGCGGCTTTCCCAGGAGGGACCTGGAGGTGAGAAGTGCTGTGTGTTTGTACCAACTCCCGGCGTGGGCAGCGGGCAGCTCTCTGTGAGGTTTGCTGAACAGACTGCGGGAAGGGCGAGTGAAGCAGGCCCAGGCCCTCCCGAGAAGGGCGACTCCCCCAGGATCCCCAAGACCTGCCTCTGTCTCTCTGGAGACACTGCACCATGTCTGGGGACATTTGTGGTTGTCACGACTGGGTCGGGGGGTGCTCCTGGCATGGGGTGGGTGGAGGCCGAGGAGGCTGCAGTGGCGGGGTCGCCCCAGTGTCCGCAGTGACAGGGGCAGAGCCTGGGGCAGGGTGGGGAGCAGAGAAAAAGCTCCTTCCTGTTTCCTGCCATGTCCCTCACTCCAGCCCAACCAGGAGTCTGTGCTGCTGTTTCTGGAACTTTCCTGGAAGCCCTTTATGGTCACAGCCGGGGCCACCGGTCCCAACTGGCTACAGGAAGGAAAATGGGATGTCGTGCTTAGTGGGGCTCCCTCCCCCAGGCCGGCAGGGCTGGGGACACAGACGACATGGCCACTCCCCACAGCGGGGCCACCCAGGGGGCTGCAGGAAGGGGCATCCTGCCCCACTGTCCTCCTGGGTCCTCTGTCCTGGGCCATCACAAGCCGGCTCATGTCCCTCTGCTCCCTCAACAGGTCTCTGGACGACGGCCCCGAGCTGATGGCAGACAATGTCAGCCACTAACAACATAGCCCAGGCCCGGAAGCTGGTGGAACAGCTCCGCATCGAAGCCGGCATCGAGCGCATCAAGGTGAGCCGGGTGGGCACGGGAGGAGCTGGGGCTTCCAAGGGCACGCTGGGCAGGTCGCGGGCGCTCAGCGAATGACGGGCAGGGGACCTCGCGGGAGGGCAGAGGCCGCGCCACCTCTGCTGTGCCTCTCGCTCTGTGATCTCGGCCCTTCGGACGTTTGACCAAACAGCAAGGCACCGTGGCCTGGCCAAGTGGACCCGTAAAATCAACTGTCGCCCCCACGTATCCGCTCAGACCTCTGCTCTCAAGCACCTGTCACCCGCGGGTGGTCACTGGTCGCGGGAATTCACTAGGAAGGGGTGACCGGCCCCCAAGTGGCTCCAGCCGGGGACAGAAAGACTCACCCCTGCTGTCCGGGCCGTGGAGGGGGGGTCTGGGTTCCGTGTGCCTCCAGCCCAGCCCTGAGCCCTCCCGGACCCCGTCACACCGCCGCCAGCTGGGATCCAGCCAGGAGGGGCGGGGGGTGCCCCCCACGAGGTGTCTGAATGTTCCAGAACCCCGACTGCTGGGGCAGACCTGGGCATTCAAAGCATTCCTCCGGGCTGAGCACGGAGTGGGCCCCGGTTGAAGTGGGTTTCCTCCGTGAGCGGTGCCAGCCGGCCCTGGCGGAGGGCGGTGACTCATCCCGCCCCGTTTGATGTCGCGAGTTGAGCAGGGCCCCTCACCCTTTGAAAGTCAGGCCAGTGGGGGTCGGCACTAGAGCCCACGTCCCCCCGCCAGTCCCGCCTGAGGTTTTTTGTCCCCTCAAAGTGGCGACCAGAGCCACAGAGCCTGGGCAGCGGCGGGCGCAGGCTTTCTGTACGTGCCGGGGCCACCACACCGGCTATTTCCAGGCTCGAGGCTATTTCTGTCCGAGAGGAGGCTGCTTCCCAAATAGATGTCTAGAAAGCGAGCCCGGCCCGAGTCATCAAAGGCCGCGGCCAGTGAGCTCACAAGAGTGGCAATTTTCTCCGTCCCCCCGTGGGCAGGAGCATCCCCTGGGGCTGCCCGGCTTGGCAGGACACTGAAGCCGGCCCAAGGGGATGCGGTCCCAGGGTCCCTGGGGTCCAAGGGAGGATGCGGTGTCTGGGGGCAAAGCACCTTCCAGGTGAGGCAGCCAGGCTGGGGACGGTCGTCAAGTCCCACAGAGAGAGAGTCGCCACCATGGGGGTGAATTCTGGGGCAGAGGGACGTGTGTCCCCATTCGCCCTGGCCTGGGAAACCCGACACCCCGGCCTCCTTCCCGGCTGGGGTGAGCCGCGGGGCAGCGCCTGCAGCCTCCCAGAGGCACAGCCTGGAGGACCGGCAGTGTGGCCCAGGGACGGCTGGTGGCCGCAACCCATGGCAGAGGGCCCCACCTGTGAACGGGAGTGTCAGCTCTTGCCGGGGCCGGAGTCCCCATGGGTTCTGGCTGCGACAGGATGAAGGGCAGAGCGCCGGGTGTCACTGTCAGACCTCCCACGATCATGTCGCATGGTCTGGCAGGTTTTCCCATCCTGGGGCGGGCGCGGGGTGTCCGGCTGACTCGTAGGAGGGATCTGTCTGTCCCCGACTCTTTTTGTTCAACACCTGACAACTCCTAAAGGAAGTTTAGCCTTCTCTTTTTTTTAAATCGTTTTGCAGTCGTAGTAAAAGACACATATCAAATTTATTAGTAGTGATATTTAGTATATTCACGACACTGTGCAACCAGCACCTCTCTATAATTCCAGAACATTCCATCATCCCAAAAGGAAGCCCTGTCCCCATCAGCAGTCACTCCTCATCCCCTCCCCCAGCCCCTGGCTCCCACGAATCCACGTCCCATCTATGTGGATCTTCCTGTTCTGGACGTTTCCTATAAACGGAGTCTCACACCGTGTGTCCTTCTGTGTCTGGCGTCTCTCACTGAGCACGACGTCCTCAAGGTCCCTCCACGCTGTGGCCTGTGTCAGAGCCTCGTCCCTTCTCCCGGCTGAAGGATACTCCAGTGTGTGGATGGCCCACGTCGTGTTGATCCACTCACCTTTGGCGGACACCGGGCTGTTTCCCCCTTGGGGCTGCCGCGAACGATGCCGCGGGAACCTGGGTGCCTCCCCCCTTCTCACCCTTCTTCTCCCCGCCTTGTGCCACACACAGGTCTCCAAAGCCTCGTCGGAACTCATGAGTTACTGCGAACAGCACGCCCGGAATGACCCTCTGCTGGTCGGGGTCCCTGCCTCCGAGAACCCCTTTAAGGACAAGAAGCCTTGTATTATTCTCTAGCTGTGTTCTCCGCACGCTCAGCTCCTCTCTCCCCTCTCTCTGTCTCTCTGGCTCTGGCAGGGCATCATTCAGTGCCCAGCTCGAGCAAAACATCTTGAGTCCCCAAAACTTTTAATTCCAAAAGAAACGCAAAAAAAAAAAAAAAAAAAAAAATTCCACCGCGCAGGTGGGGTAAAACGTATCCTCCAGATTAGACGGATTTTCAGACCCGACGACACAGCTCTGTCATGGGTCGGTGGCTCTGCAGCCACTTCCAATTAAGAACAACTGAGATGCCCAAGCGACGTGGTAACAGTTTTTTAAAACTCTCGATTGCCGTTTGCGTTGCGGAAGCGGAGCCGGGAAGGAAAGGGGGGTGAACGTGCTGCTAGCTCAGGGCACCCGTCCCCGGGGCAGTGAGTCCTTCACAATTGGCCACACGTGAAAGGACGTCGCCAGGTTGCCGGGATTTTTTTTTTTTTTTTTAGTAGAGGTAAAGCTGGGGTTGGGGGGTTGGGTGACCTAATGAACTTTTTTGTAAAAAAAAAAAAAAAAAATCTCTCCTTTCCATTTAAAAAATTCTTATTCCACACTGCTGACACCAGATTTCGGTGGCCGAAGCTGTAGCTGAACTGTACGTGTCGTGCACAGATGGATCGTAGGGCCTGGACACGGGGTTTTGTCTATGATACACACTCCGGGCTGCCAAGTGTCACTCCCCTGGGTGTCATCTGTCACTCACCCCTTCCTGGGGACCCCAAAAGCAGATTTTCAGGGCTTGCCCCCAGTGAGGGAGGGGCGGCTGTCACGGGCCCTGCCAGTCGTGTCTCGTTCTAAGCACGAGGCGTCCGCATGTCGCTGAGCGGCTTTGATCACACCCGGCCCTTCCAGGTTTCCCACTTTCTCGAATCACTGCGACCGGCCGTTTTTCAAACCGAAATGCCGCCCGGGGAGCCGCTGCCTGGCGGGTCGAGCCGCCTTGCGCGGGGGTGTGTGCACAGTTGCCAAATTACGTCCAAGTGACCTCAAAGGACGGTGGGAGGCGCGATCCTCCGTCCAGAGACGGAAACGCCCGCTCAGGTCTCCCCATCGTCCCTCACGCCTGATCCTTGTGGTTTTTCCACCCAAGTCACAACCCGGAAGGGCTGGTTTGAGGACGAGAGACACATTTTTGGGGAGAATCAGTCACTCTTCCGTACGGCCTTGGAAATTGAAGATGTCACGGGGGGAGGGCTTTTTTAAGATGACTTTGTCCCCTTTTACGACACGGAGAGTGACAGCGGCAGGTGGCAGAAGGGAGGAGCTGCCGGCACACCGTCCGGCACCCACCTGCATCACCTGTGGCCACACCTGAGATGGGTCCTGGGCAGCGGGGACCCCACACCGCCCCAGACTCGGGAGGCCCGGACAGAAATCAGAGTCTAAGGGCTTGTGCCTGGAGGGTTCCAGGACGGCCACCAGGTCCTCCCTGCAGGCGGGTAGGGCAGGGGCCAGAGCCTCGGCCAACTCCCCCACACTCCCGGTGCAGCTGCCTCCCGGGGCAGGGCCGAGGTTCCTGCCTGGCCAAGGCTGGAGGGATCGGGCAGCCGCAGGTAGAGAGCGGTGCAGGTGCAGGGGGGCGGCCCTCGACCCCCAGCCCCGGGCTGGCTCCCGGAGGGATCAGACGGCAGCTCAGGCTTCTCCCAGGCTCCCAGCTCTCTGCGGCCGGTCCGGGAGGGCTGGGACTCGCGGGGGGCCTGGCTCCACCAACCTGCTGCTGGACCCAAAGACAGCAGCCCCCTCCGCTGGCTGGGGCCTCTCCGCCACCCCTGGCAGGAACGTGGGAAGGGGCACAAGTCTGTCCCGGAAACCCAGGGAGTGGCCGGAGCAGGGAGGCCGAGGCAGGGGCAGGCGGGGCGGTGTTAGAAGCAGGCGGCAGAGAGGAAGACCCCGCCTCAACTCTTCCCTTTCCAACCAGCCATCTTGGCACCTGGGAACAAAGGCACCCCCATTTCTCCTTGAAAGAAGCCTTAATCCCCTGAGCTGTCATCACATCCTCGCAGGGCCATCCTTCTTCCGTGGTCCCCACCGTCCCCGCCCTCTGGCCACCAGGCCCCACAGAGGACAGGAGACTTTGAGTTCAGGGTCAGCAGCGCCCGAGCAGCCCAAGCCCCCCCCCT